ATGGTTGGCCCTTCATGCGCCCGCGCATATCTATCCCCTTATCCCCTTTGCCTCTGTGAAAATTATAAATAAAAAAATGAGTAATTGCGTCAACATCATCAAAAATCAAGAATAACGTTCACAGTCATTTTTTTTGTGGCCACGAAGAAAGAGCCTTATATCCTATTCACTACAATACCCCCAGGGCATTACCGAATTTGGGATTTCGGAAACTGGGAAGAACCGTTCACTAAACCGTTGCCACGAAGAGCTTTCTTTTCCCAGATATTTTGCACCTAGTAGAATCGTATCTTTCGGATATACAATGACAACAAATTAATACAGTGAAATACTCACCCTGTCCTTTCCACCTGTACGTTCTTCGCCTTTAATAAGTCTACGTTTTTCTGTTCGAACTCTCTACCAATGGCGACTGTTGAAGACATTTTGGTTTGAATTTTGTTACGTGTAAAAATGTAAAAAAAGTGAAAAAGTGAAGTTTGAGTGGAAAAATTTATTGTTCGGTTCCGTTAAATCATGCCGGGAGTAACAAAATAGGATATTTTATTCAGTCATAATGAAAGAAATATGGTTTTTATTTATTTTAAAAATCATATGGGCGCTTTGCAGTAGAAAGGGAGGAAACTACCAAAAAAATTTTTTTTAAGTTATAAATTTTTTTTGGTAGTTTCCTCCCTTTCTACTGCAAAACGCCCATATATAGTTTTATAGGTAATACAAAAAGTTGTAGAGTCGGGTCACTCAAATGGGTGTATTATTTTCCATATTGGGTAGTATATCACGTGATATGATGTCAACCTGCCCTAAACTAACAATTCAGTATGACAAACCATACTCAACATCATAACACGTGTGTATTGTAACCCGAACTCTTTATTTAGTATATTAAAATTATTTTTTATAACTTAGCTTAGTTATAGTAACATAACATATGAAAGAAATCATAATATTGAGTACAATAATAAGTTGTACTATATAGTTACACCACATACTTGTTTAGCACCGAACTCCACTCCGGCGGAAAAAATCAATATTCTTTTAATAAGCGATTTTTATGTTTAAAATTCTGCGAATATACTTCACTTGTTTGAAAAAAGAACATTAATGCAATTAATTTTTTTAACTAACTATATTTAGGTGGATAAAGATCATAAAAATTTTTTGAAAATAGACAAAAATTTTGAGGTTATGAACAAGGGCGTTATCTCTTACTCTCACGCTTTGATAAGCCACTATCACCTAGTTGATAATCCAACATGAGTAACCTTATCCGGTTCTTCATCATAACCTGTATATTATGAAATTAAATTTTAACATTTAAAATTGTAATTAAGATTTTCTTTAAAAGTTATGGCATTATGAATTTTGGTGTATTATATTATATAATAATATTTAGTACCAATTTGAGCCAAATTTGCAAATTTCAGATATTTTGTTTGTAATCTATACGATGCCGGTATCTTAAGTAACGATTTGAATTATTTGAATTATATAATTTTCGCCAAAAAAACATAAATTATGTAAATTCGATTATCTGTCTTCTGGTGTGGATTAGGGCGTTAGGAGCTAAATTTAAATTAAATTAGGTAAAGCTATGTGAAGCTTCTTGTTTTACATTGTGAATATGAATGTAGGAATGAGCGCCAAGTTCTATTTTATTAGTAGGAAAGGATTTGTCAGATCCATTTACTAGCACGTATTTAGGCTATTAAAGTCGTCAGCTATATCAAGTATTGAATACCAACTGAGTCCTTCCACTCGTATAACGTAAAATTGAATTTGGATTTAAATATTTTCCAAATTCATGGATCACTTATTAAATCGATCTTTATAAGATTCATTTAAAATAAAATCATTTGAATGTATTAATGAATTCGGAAGTACGTCGTCTTCTTTTATGGGAATATTGTTTGGTTTTAGTAATTTCCTTCTCATTTGTACTTTAAATATTGAAAATGAAATAACTTGTTTTAAGGCATTAATAAGTTCATAAAAGTGGTAATATTTTTAGGAATTTAAATTGAAGAATCGATTATAATTTTTAAAATTTAGGTCTTCTTCTTTTGTAATTTGGAATTTAGGAATGGATACTATATGACTTCAATTTAATATCATACCAGTGGTGTGACGTAACCATATTTAGGCTGCACCGAAACGGATGATCATTCAAAAAGCAAAATGTTTAATCTTTTAACTCCAATAAGACCATAAATTTTCGGTCGGGACCACGAACGCTTTACTACCCGAATGATCGTTATCTTGCTGAAAGAAAATGATTATAAGAATTTTGACATGACATGAAAATTATTCTCTGGAAGCAAAATAATTTTATTTTCCCTTTGCACAAATGATAGAATCTTTTAGCATGACGCATACCATTCGTTCAACATTGTTTAGGTGACAATTGACTAATTCAACACGATTCCGCTTATGAGTTTCTGTTAACATTGCATGATTTGTTTTATAACCAAAATGTCTGCATACTGTACGATAAACACATGGTTCGGTTAATAAGTTTATATTAGCTAATTAATTATGAGCGGCAGCTTGATGAATTCTGCTAGATAAGGTACTAAACAGTTTCTATTCAAATAATGAAAATAAGCCGTACAATTTGGTTTGAGTTATAAAGTTTGCATACCTTCGAATGAAGCAAGTATAGGAAACATTAGACTTAATTGTCAATTATCCAGTCGTAACATAAATCTTCAATTAAACTTAAAACGTTTTGCTGTAACAAAGTCACAATAGATCCATTGCTAATATCTATCAAACTTTCTCAATCACTTATTGAATCGGTACATTTCATTCATTTATAAAATTCATTTATAAACCGTTGTGATTTCTTTTTTTTACTTTGTACTTCAAAATTTGAAAATGAAACTATCTTTCTTGTTCATAAATTTATATAAAGAGGCCATATAATAATTGAAGTATCAATCACATTTCTGCAATTTAAGAATTTCAGGTAAACAATACGTTTGATCTTATATTAACAATTCATTTGGACGAATAAACTGTCATATAATGGAAAAGAATGAGAAAAATAAAAAAAAATGATTTTATTACGGAATTTCGCATCGTAATTTTATTTAAATCCAATAAGTTTAATACACCACTGTAAAGAATTTACAAAAAATAAATTAATTAATATGAATATAATAGATTACAAAAGCAAAATGAAAAAAAAATGTACATACCTCATCATTGCCACCTAGTCTTTCGTTATGACCGACAACTTCTTGAAAATTATCATTTCCAATAGTAAATTGAAAATCATGACTACGTAAAACCACTTGTTGACCATTATAATTCTTATTACTAAGATTAATAATATCATTTGATTTCAAATATCCTTGATAATTTTCTAATTTACTATTATTAAACTTCCATTGAGTATAACTACTACTGTTGGGGTTACAACTTACTAAAATAAAATAATACATCAATATTAAACCTTTTTAAAAAATATATTTTGAAATAACAAAAATTAACGACTACCTTCCGTGTGCTGAGTTACTGGAGATTTATAACTACCATCATTATAAATTCCAAGAAAGATATTAGACTTTTTGTGTTGTAAATATATATTAGTATCGGTGTATGAAGCTAGCTCATTACCGCTAAATGTGATATTCCATAAAGCATCCGAATCAAGCAAATTATTTGCAAAAACCTGAATTTATTAAAGTATAATTATTATCAAATTATATATCATGAAAAAATCTATAAAAGACGTACCAATTGTGACTTTCTTTCAGTTGTATAACGTAAATCCTTAATTGAACTTAAATATTTTCCCGTAGCAACGTGTTCTAAAGCTACAATAGATCCATTTCTAATTATATTTGATTCATCCATAGAAATTTCCTCAAATTCTTTAATTAATTCATTTATAGATTTAATTTTTTCTTTTCTCTTAGAAAATTCATCATACAAATAAAAATTTGATGAAAATGTTTGTTTAAAGTACTCCTTTTGTTCCTCAATATCGTTAATGTCGGCATTATAACATAATTGGCGAAAGTTTAAAATAAATTTTGAAGTTTCGCCGCCTTCTCTCTCGGGAATATATTTTAATAATTGCAATTTCTTTTTATTTGTATTCTTGAATACTGTAAAGGTAATATCCTCTTTAAGTGCATTACGAAGTTTTTCAAAATTATCAATTCCACTTGGGAGTTTGATGGTGGCATTCACTAATGACATTACATAAGTTAAACCATAATACGTCCTAGATGTCTTAGTTGTTGCAACATTCAACCTAAAATAAGATTGAATATCATTTATCCATTCATCTGGATGAATGTTTCCATCATATTTTGGAAGCTTCATTTTTTTTTTTTTATTATTAAAGAATTGGAAAGGGGCGCAATTCATTTGTTAGACTGATTTGGTCTTATTTATCTTTATTCACTTTCCAAATGCAGAAAAATCACGTTTTTAGATCATGACTCGTGACTTGAACAAGTGCAATTCATATATCACAAAATATTGAAATTGATTTGGAAGCGAGAATTTTTTTTTTTTTTTTTGCACATATTAGCGTTGGTAATTTTATACTTAGTAAGACGAGCGACCGGACATTTTAGTTTGAAAAGGTATTACAGAGTTTCGTTAAAAAAAATTTATTTGTAAACAAATAAATGATAAAATTTAAATTTATTTAATCATTAATTATGTATACCCAACCCATCAATCCTTTTACTGGATCATAAATCCTATTTATTTTATACACATGTTGCGGTTTTCTGATTGGGATAAAGTAAGTAAAAACATGTAATTTATTCATAATTATCATGCACAAGTTTTCCATTTTACTTTAAGGAGTATAACGGCGCTCACAAAATATTTGGATTTGATTTACAGCATTTAATAACTTCGCGATAACATTTATGTAGTACTGAATTAGTTTAAAATTTAAAATTTCAATATACAACGCGAGTTAATTTTGTATAATTGATTATTTAATGATCCGTTGACTTCTCAATGATTAGCTTTACCTCTAGAATCTATGTATCATGTCATAAAAAAAAAGGATAGTTTAGAAATATTCACACAAGGTCCGGTGTTGACATGGAATTGATCTGAAACCATCTACTAAGGCCTATCGAAGAGAGATTTATACGACAATTGATTTATCACAATTCATTAGTGTAGTTTGGTATCAAGATTAATACCATTATGAAGACACGAAGAAGTTTGAAAGCTTAAACAAGAATTTTATTATGTGGAGTTATTAAGTTTAAACCCAAGACTTATCTCAAAAATTCTGAGAAAAACCAAGTCGAACTACAGGAACAAAAATTCTTAACTTTACTATTAGACATAATAGTTAAAACGAATAAAATAAATAAAACGAATAATAAGAAATATAACGAATATGTAGATAAAAGATTAATTTTCGATATTTTCAATATTTTTTTTTTTCTTCAGTATGATGGTCGCGTGACAATTTAATAGACTTTATGAAGTCAACTCTACTAATTTTGCAGAAGTGACTCACCGACTCTAACGGCCGACACTTTTGTGGAAAAATTTGATGTGCGTTGAAAAATTCCAATTTTGTTATTTGATTTTGACTGACCATTTTCTTTTTAAAAATATTTCTTTTATTTATTTTTTATTTAAAATGATAAATAACATGATGGGAGGCAAACCAAAAAAAAAGAGGTAACAAAAACTTATGAACAAATAAACGAACATTAATTACATATAATGATACAAGAATATGGAAAATTCAACACGATAAAAGAAAAAAAATATAAAGTGAAATGTTTAAAGCAATTGATCCCAAGTTAATGCTAAATAGTCTGATCTACCCACTCTTCTTTTCCCTGCTTCAATACCCTCTCTTCTAACAACATCTTCCAGCTCCCTCAATCGATCATTATCTAGTACTAACAATTTTAGATCCGGTTTTCCACTAAATTCAGCAATATATTTATCACTTTGAGGTCTTTTATCAGTCACCTTTATCCAACCCACACAGGACCATACCAAAGTATAAGCACCTTTATTGTAAGCACTACCAGTATCTAATTCGACCATTGTTGTTTGCTCACCTGAAGAGGGCCAAAGTGGAAATTTGATGTAATGCTGTCGATGTATTTCATTTGATAAAACCTTCCTTGCCTCTCTTAATTCCTCTTTAAATGATCTTTCTACGTTCTTGATGGGATCTTTTGCGATGACGCGTCCGCAAACCTCTTCCAAGTACTTTTCGATGGCATCTCTATAATCTGACCACGCCTTGATATTATCGCTACCAGTATGAGGAACATGAAAATCATGACATAGAGAGAAACCAAACAAACCACCATTAGCCTTAAGAAATCCCACGGTACCTTCCCTATTATGCATTAAAAGTTGTGAAAGGTTCGGATAATTGTTTTTTAATTGTTGAATTATTGATTCCGATTTGGAAATCATCAAAGCAGCTTGATTGGGAAAGCTCATATCTTTGAAAGTTGAATGAGAGATTCGGGAGAGGTATACGTGTGATGACTTTGAGAATTCTTTCACGTGAAGAAAGTAAAAGTAAACAATGTTATTTTTTCAAAAAGTTTGGGGATTGGGGTGTATATGTGAGAATTCGATCGTCACACAAAAAGTCATAAGGACGGTCGGATACTGATAAAGGGCGGAAGGCGATCAAGATTATGTCCGCTTTTAAATTAGGCAACGTTATTTGCACAAATGGCATGTGAATTGCCTCTATAATGATCCTGATCTAAACCTCTTTGAAAACTTCTGATTTTATCGAATTCGCGATAAGTTTAAACATTGAAATATTTGCACATGATGATTTTTCATTCGTTTCAATGCAAATGAAGGAAGCGATAATGCAGTGATTTGAAATCTACTTTTTGAATTTTAAACATTTCAAAAAAGAATTTTTTTCAATGAGTGGAAAGGCGACTCGTTACCCATTTATTCGTATACCCTGTTTAGGAATTCGAGTATCTTATTTGGCATTCTGAAATTCTGACGGGTCGCAGCTCTAGAATGGCACGATTGGCGTGGCGTAGCAAAATTTTGACGACAATGTTCTTTTATTTTATCTATTCTTCTTCACTTTAATTGCTTCATTTATAAAGTATTAATATTATTTACATTATGGCTCAGACATCTTTAAAGCATTCCTCATCTGTGACTTCGAGTTGATTCGTTCGTCAACTCGATATGATATGGTGTTTAGAATTTTTCAAGCGAGGCGGGTCGGTGTAATAAAGCAAAGAAATGATTGCTGCAAAAAAAAAAATAATAATACTAAGAACAAAGGGACATAAAATAATGGTACAAATTCCTTTAATAATAGCTCTATAAAATTTAAACTTTGTTCCCGATTCTACGAAAATGAAAAATTCCGTAAAGTTATTATGTGCGCAAATCAATTTCTGGACTAGAAATGAATGCATATAATTTTACAATTTTGCTTACTTTAATTCTTAAATATTTTTTTTCGATTTATATGCTTAAAAATTTACCGTGTTCGATCATTTTTGTAGATAACTACAAGAAATGTATTATGGTATTTCAAAGTCGAGGTTTTGGATAAAATAATAATTAATGATGTACTAAATCAAATAATCAAGTCTTACTGTTTTAAAAGCGAAAATCAATTGCCAATTGTTAAGAATTTTTTATCAACAAATTTTTTTAAACAAGCAATTTGTTCAAAATAATTAATTTACCTTTTTTTCTCACACAATACTTAGCATTAATCAAAAGCAACCTTAGCACCTAAAAGGTGCCGAAAGATGATCATTCAAAAGACATGAGGCCGTTTGGGCTAAAACATTGGATTAAATTTGTTGGTATTTAGCATATAATGCAAACCATAGTCTCGTTATTTCGGACTTTCAATAATTTATTTCGGACCTTTTCTTTGGAACAAAGTCATATATATAATATCGTAAAATCTGTTCTGTTAGAAAATAATATTCACCAACTAATTTTGTTTTATAGACTCAATCAAAGGAATTGTTCCCAGCTTTTGTTTTCTTGGAAAAAAACTTGGAATTTCGAGAAATTTAACCCTTTGTGAAGTGGACTATTTTTTTTTTTTTTTTTTAAAAAAAAAAAGAGGATTTTTACTAACTTTTATTGATTTTCAACATCAGCAGGATAACTTTTAAGATATATATGGTAGTGCATAAATTTAAAATTCTTTAAGAATTATGCTCTTTTGTAACATTGTAGCATGCAAAATAATTGAAACATTACTTGGTGTTTGAAAATCACATGTATTATAACTAGAATTTTATTTTTTTTTTAAAAAAAAAAATTCATAGAAATATTTAACACCCTGAAAGGTTAAAATCATATCTTCAACCATTATAACAGGTCTTTATAAAGTGAAGGTTCAATTCCACCACCTGTTAATAATTTTGATTCAATTAATAATGCTTAGGAAAAAGAAGATTTCGGCTAAGACTGAATGGCTCCCGATAATACTGAATGCTTATTGAATCTTATTGCATTTTTAATCTAATCACATAAAAACTAAAATGCAATCAGAATGAAAAGGAACTTGCATTGTTGACAACAGATGAATTAAAGAGAATAGAATTTACAAACAAAATTAGGAAATATGGTAATGAAAGTCACGTGATAATCACGTAAAATTCGAAAGAACTCATATCAAGATCACCTTGAATTAGTGTTATGATAGTGTTGTATTCAGTTCTCTCGTTTACGTATTTATAAACAATTTGTATTGTAAGCAGGAGGTATTAATTGAATAAAAATGAAGTTACACTTTCGCTTTATCAAAATATTAAAACAAAGTAAACGCTAATCAATAAAATTAGAACTGCGCGATTACAAACTATTACATAAAAATTGTATAATAAACTACTAATAAACATCGGAAATTAAAAATAAAATAATAAACGAATTTACATATGCGAAATTAAAAAGTTAAAACGGCGAAAGCGAAAACATCGCGAAGGTGTTAAAGGAAGGATTTCGAAGTGAACGTATGCAAAGAAATATAATAAGGGCGAGCGTGGAATGTTGAGCAGTTTAAGGATTTCCGGCTTGTATTTAGGCCAGCCTGGCATTCTTGACAACCTGTCATACTGGCACCTTGACAACCTGGTACTGGCAAAGCGATTCTCATGCGGAATTATGGAGACTTCGGCCGGAATTGCATTTAATTGTAACAATAGATTCGAATCATTGATAGAAATTGTAATTTAAATTATTTTTTTTTTTTTTCTATTTACAATTTAACCCGAAATCAAATTCAGCACGAAAAAAATTAATAGATGAAATCACATGATAATTGCTAGGTTCTGGGATTTTTTTTTGTGCAACAAAGTCTTAATTTTCAGAACCTGATTTACTTTTTATACCCATAAAAGAACGAGTCAAGTTATTAATAATGACTATCGTTATGAAAAAAATCATAATTAATATGTAAGAATCTTCAATGAACGTAAATTCATTGTGGAAATAAAATAAGAATAATTTATTTAGATAATTATGTAACATATTATATATTACAGAACAAAAAGATAAAATTTAAATACATCTAGTTTAAGTAAATACTATTCACATTATTTAAAATGTGTAAATAAATGATTCCTAAAATCTAAAAATTTAACCACAATATCCGTCCGAGGTGCAAGATTGGCCGTAACGACAGCAAGTACCGTCACCGCAATCTATACGAAAAGGGCCGCAAGAACTGCCGCATACGTATTTAACTCCAGAAATGTTAGAAACATAGCAGACCGAAGTGCCATAACAACAACCTCCTCCGAATTTACACAGATAATGGCTAGACACATGTACTGTCTTTTGACCAAAGATGATTGATTCTTGTCTTTAAATTCTCTTAAGTAATTTCTTTACCAATTAAGTAGTGACGTTGAAGCGAAAGTGATAAATTCTACAATTACGATAACAAATATCAAGTTAACTTTCTTAATGATATTCGTGATTTTGCAAGTATCAGGGGAATAGTTAGACTTGCATTATTATTTGATGAGCTCAATTAAAATATTTTATTATTTTAATGTGGTAAGGGAGTTCAATTTGAATTGATATCATTTTATTCTTCATTAGAATTATAATTATAATCTTTCTTTATATGCATAATCATTTCGAAATTTTATAAGATTGCTCCTTGTCTATCGTCACACTTGATTAACGAGTAACTGTATCGTCATACATGAAAAAATTTATGGATAAATATTACTTTCTTTACATAATTTTGTTTTTCCTTTCTAGTTACAATTTTCAAATTTGATTTTTGTTAAATATTACACGTGAGTCATTGATTAAGGTTTGCGCAGTATTAGGGAAATTTCTTTATTGAAAATAAGGGTTTTGATGCACTCAAATTAGCCAATCAGAATCCAATTTTCGAGTTTGCATTTATGGTAATTATTAAATTTTTAATTGCGACATGTAGGATTATAATTTCTAGTTTTCAACATTGATTCTTAAAATATGATCCATGTTACAGGAAATAATAGCGATAAAATCATATTTAAGTTGCCAGAATCACGGAATCATAAAATAATACATATAAATCCTTTTGTAATTTCAGTTTCTTTTTTTTTTTAAAAAAAAAAAAAAAAGAATTACATAATAATAATTTTTCAAAACTAATTACCCAATTAATCAGCTCAAAACTTTAAAACACTATTAGAGTGTGTAACCATTATTATTATACTTATGGATGGATGTATATATTAATTTAATAATTTACATTTAGAACAACGAAAAAAAAAAATTTAATAAAAAATGAAAATATATTGATTGTAGGGAAAACGAGAAATTTTAAAAAGACGCAACAGGATCCGATTACAAATGGGTATAAATCTCACATCTAGAATACCTTTGAAGTGAATTCGTGATACGGCAAACCCAACGACGTACTTTTTACAATGTTTAGTTATCATTGTTGATGAGAAACGTTCAACATCCAAAACTTGCACGTCTCGACATAATTTCAGTTTTTTTTATGAATGCTTTCTAGACGACCCAGAAGTTTAAATTTTCGTTGTATCATTCATTGATTAGGTGTTAGCAACCAACTTTTTCTCTTGTATATAATAGACATCTTTACAACAACTTTGTCAAAAGGTAATGATTGTGTTTATTAAATAATCATCTCTACATTTATTTATTGTACGATAATTTAAATCGCGTATCGCATTAAGTTGAATAGATCTCAATATGCAACTAAGATGGTGGAGTTCGCAAATTACTATTAAAATTGTAATTTTATTATTATTAGCATTTTATATAACATTGTATAGTAATCATGAGTGCAAATAAAAAAAAAATTTTGAATTTCAAATTTCAACTTTCATCTTTAATGTAATTCATCCTAGGAAAAAAATCAGATTCCTGCAGGGATTCAGAAATTTTCTGCATGTTCTCATTTTCCAAAAGGTACACTCCCCTCCAAAAAATATCCGACCACCCGTCGATCATTGCAAATCCTAAAATATTAAAATTTGAATTACGCCACAACTAATGCATATAAATAAAAAATTTTTTTTTTCTCATGTAGGTGCAGTTACA